AGAGACTCAGATCCAGAACAGTGGCCCGCGCTGGATGCAAAGCGACAGTACACGGAGAGGGCCGATGATCTTTCAGTCGGAGTCGGGGGAAAGAGGAGAATGGTGTTCAATGATGTGTAATCGTGCAGAGGGAGGAGGCAAGGGGAAGGCTGGCGGGAAAGGCAGGGAGAGTGGAGCGCGGGGAGAAGCAGGAGGGGCAGGGCAGAGGGGGGACGGGCTTCGATCGATCGGCCGGGTCTCGCTGAGCGCAGGGCGCAGGCGCCCATGACCTCCTCGTCGTTCTCGCGCGCGGCGGCCAGCTCCTTCTTCCTCGCGGCCTGCGGGCTCGGGCCCGGACGTGGCCCCGCCCGACCCGGCTGACTCCCGACGGCCGGCCAGGAGCGGCCCTGGGCCTCGTGCTCCGAGGCCTGTGTGGTCCGCTCTGGCAGAGCCCCGGGTCCAAACCAGCAGCGCACCTCTCGGGGGCGCATGCGTTGCTGCCGCTGGCCGTCCGCGGGCTGCCGCCCGCGGACCAGCACTCGCTCTACTTCCGCCACCTTCCGCCGCCTTCCGCCGTGCAAGAGGTGGCAACTCCTTCGACAATTCAAGGCGAGGCGCTTCCTGGAACGCCGCACGAGATGGGTCTCCCTGGAAAAGCTGGGGCGCCCCTCGCTCAAAGGGGTATGCCGAGGTTTCGCCTGGTGCCCGCCCGTGAGCGCCCCGCGATACTGCGAGGTCCGATGGTCCTCAGGAGGTGTGCTAGCGCCGACGTGTGTTCGTTCACTGGAGCCCTCCAGTACGACGCAGGCGATGCTGCGAGGACCGACACAGGCTGCGCGCTATCGGCGGAGACGAACGGGGCAACGCACACATTGGGCTAACACACGGTCCTAGGTCTCCTAGCATCGTGCATCGCGCCCCGCGACGCGCGACGCGCCAATACCCTCGCGCCAGCGCGCCCTCACGCCACCCCGGGCAACCGCTCTGGCTCAGACCGCGACGCGCGAAGCGCGGTCAGCTTCGCGCCCCCGAGGCTGACCCACGTCCTACAACCCTCGTCAAAATTAACCTCAAAAATGTCTGACGTGGTTGAACTGCTTGTCGGAAGATATGGCGCCGAGCATCGATGAGTGCGGGGTACTTGCATGCGCCGTCCCTCCAATGTCGGTCGACGTCAAACTTTCGAGACAACTTCGGTCAGACTATCTTTGCCCTCGCCCCGACATTGAAGGGGCGGCGTGTCGACATTGAGGGGCGCGCCGAAATCGAAATGACGTGCCAGCAACTGTTGAGGTTAATTTTGACGAGGGTAGTATCACCGAAGGGTTACGCCCGGTGCCGGCCTGTGAAGGCGGGGCGCTCGATGGATGCGAGCTCGGGTCCAAGACGCAGACTCTCTCTCGCGCGCCAGCGCGGGCGGCCCGCGCGCCAGGGCCGCCCACGCGTACTGCCCCCGAACATGAAATTTGAAATGCGGATTGCCCCGCTACCGCGCATGCTGCGGCGGCGGGGCAGCCGAGAACGTCTGCATGGGGGGGCCAGCCGCGTGCTCGTGCGTGCCGCGACGCACGCCCGCATGTGCGAGCAGATTCCGCACACGCTCGGGGGAACGCGAGGACCTCGTGCGATCGCTGCCAGACCATGGGAGGGCGGACACATGCATATGTGACACGCCCCAGTTGCATCGAATGATCCCAAGCATGGGCATCTTTGGACAGACTTTCTACAACGCAAGGCCCCAGCACTTTTCAATCGGATGGGTACTCGCGGCCCGGCCGACAGAGTGTGATCGCTCTGCAGTGCCATGAGCCAGCGCGCCCCCAACTTCAGGGCCCTCTTCCAGCGCGGTGCCATGGGACGCAAGCAAGAGGACATACTCGTACAAGATATTCCCCTTGGAGGCGCGCGCCCGACCCGAACGTAGAGTATAACGATCTTGTGGTATATCGTTTACCAGACGGTATTGCCAGAAAGCGCTCGCCACGGAGCTTATACCATAAGATGTCTCGGTGCGCGCGTCGCCCCACGGGGGCGACGCACACCCCGTATCAGTACGTTGTGGGACCCTATGAGACAGACTAGTACTACATGTCTTCCTTGGAGGCGCGCATCCGACCCGAACATATAGTACACGCATCTTGTAGTGCATCCTTCTCCCGAGCGGTGTGGCCAGACAGCGCCCGCCACGACGCACATCCTATAAGATTTCTCGGTGCGCGCGTCGCCCCCCGGGGGGCGACGCACTTACTCTATAAGTATGGTGGGGTGACGCCGATGTTGGGGTGACGCACGTCTTCTGCAGAGCACGACAAGTCAAGCAAAGCAAGCAACACCACGCGAAGCATGACGGTCCAACATCAGAGGGCGCAGATCAAGGCACTGTACGACAACACCATGCAAATCGAAACGACAAAGTGCAACGCAACTGGTGAGATGCAGCGTAGGACGAAACAAAACAATGCAAAACCACGCAACGCAATCAGACGGGACGCAATGCAAGTCGGAATGCAACAAAGTGAGGCTTCGCAAATCAACTCAAACGAACGCATATCAACCAAACGCAGAGCAATGCAATATTCTGCACGTATGTGCTAAGCCATGCAAGAGAGCACCTGCAGAACACGGCAAGGAAAAGCAGGGCAATGCGGAGCCGTACAAAGCAACGCACAGCAGCGCAGTGAAATGCACATCGAATTGGTACACCGTGAGGTCGGATAAATTCGAACGGTGCGGGTGGCGTTGCATACGTAGCAAGAGCCATACGGCCTAAACCGTAGTCTCTACACGCCATTGTTGTCGCGCTTGGCACTGGTGTCTCACCATGGCACCTGATCAGAATGCCCTCGTCTGGTGTCAGGGCGCGCCATATCACGCCGAAGGAAAAGTATACTCGAGCAACGCGCGCTCTTCATGCGCGCGCAGGTTCAAGCCAGTCACAAGCAAGCGGGCCGTTGGGTGCTGGCCGTCGTGGGTCTTCTTGAGACTGGCGTGCAGCCTGTCGGGGCCACCTTGGGCCCTCGCGGGTGGTCCAGGGCCGTCTCCGAGCCGTCTTGGGACATCTCTGGGCACTCTCGAGCCGTCGTATGGCCATCTTGGGCCATGTCTGGCAATCTTGGGCTCCTCGGGCGGCTACAGTGCGGTTGTCCTGGGACGTCTTGGGGCCCTCCTGGAGCCCTCTTCGGGAGCTACTTGGGGCATCTGGGGGGTTGGGTGCTTTGGGGGAGCCTCTAGTGGGCCGATGGGGCCTTCGGGGATCGTCGACTCCTGGAGCTAGGTCTTGGGACTGTCTGAGAAGCGCCTTCGGGGGGTTGTCAAGCACGCATGTTCAGGATTGTGAGTAGTGCCGCGTGCGACCATACCATACCGCAACGCATGTCACGTGGGAAGTGACTGTTAGCCAGCGTGAACCCCAAACAGCGAGATATCGCACTGTGGAGGTGCAAGATATGTTATGCTAGTTATGTGGTGCAAGCTGTGGTGTGAAAGCTTTGCGGTATGAGCTGTGCGGTGCAAGCTATGCTGTGCCAGACACGTGGTTTGACTCTGGAGTGTGAGATGTGTGGTGTGAGCTGTATGGTGGAAGCCGGGGTGTGCAAGCTTTGCGCTGCGTGCGGCGCTGTGTGAGCTCCGCGGTGTGCGCCGCGTGGCGAAAGCTAAGACGGTGCCGGCCAGGCGTGCGCTGCGCGCTGCAAGCCGCTCCGTGCAGGCTGTGCGGTGGTGAGCTCTGTTGCGTGAGCCGTGCCGTGTCAGCCCACGGGGCCCCCACCGGGGCGCCCAGGAGCGGGCACGGGCGCCGACGAGGCGACACCTCGGGAGAGCCACGCACCGCGCGCGCCGCCCACGAGGCGCCCACGGGGCGCTCACGACCGGACGCGGGCGACAGCGCGAGGAAGCCTCGAGAGAGACACCCAGCGCACAGGTCGCCCACGAAACGCCCACGAGCGGACACGGGCGCCAACGTGGCGAAAATCTGGAACACCGGTCCAATTACTTGAACATTCGAAGCGCTACCCTCTCAGTGCAAGCACTGTGTGGCGAATATGTGAACCAAGGACATGAGCAACAACATGTTATAGTTTGAAATGCGATCGCATTAGATAACTTCCCACTCAACTTCAGAAGGGTTCAAATCCTCGCTGATGTTCCTCTTCTCTGGGCAAATATCTCAGGATGCGGAATCGTTCTACCAGAGGCGCCGGAGCGGGCCTTTGCAGCCAACAAGGGCCTAGAAGCGGAGCGAGGATGGCTCGGATCCTCAAAACAGTCAGTGCCATTTGGAAGCATCCTCCCGCTGGCCTTCAAACCCATAGACGAAGCCAGGACCAGGAAAAAATCGGCCCAGGACACATCGGAGATCTCCGAGATCCAGCGGTTATGGAGGATGCTTCGGGCGCCGTGGCCATTCCATAGCGCTCCAGAACGCTCTCAGAGCGTTCGAGGACGCTCTGGAACGAGTTATCTCTGCCCTGCGCCCGCCTGAACAAAGCCTAGCTAGCATAGAACACATCTTGAATAGCGGTCCGCTCTGCGGTTGATCGAGAGTCTCTGTTTGTGTACACATACATATATATATATATATATATATATATATATATATATATATATATATAGAAACATGGATTGGGAAAAGAGAGAGAGAGAGAGAGAGAATGATATAGAAGGGAAAAACTTGTGGCGTCCCAACCCGGATAGCGGGAAAGGCCAAACCGCGTGCAAGGCCGATGGGAAACGCGTGCAAGGACGCTTGAAAGAATTTCTGGGAAGCGTGCAAGCTCGAGGAAGGAGCTTCGCAGGAGCCCAGGACGGGATTCGAACGAGCTGCGAAAAAGGGTTGCGGATAAAGCATACGGAACGAATAGGAGAACGCTTCTGGAATACGCTGCAACCCCAAGCAGCCTGAGAGAGAGAGAGCAGATCCTGATCGAAGAAACCGGATTGAAATTTGACGCCAGATGATGTCAGATTCCGTCACATTCGCCAGATTCGCCAATCAACGATTCATGGAGCACTCTTGGCCCCACCTCTGCGGCCGATGTCGAAAGGCGCGGGCACCGATTTGGGATTCTGCGCCGGGTTCCCGCAGGTTCCGTCGGATTCGCCGACGGCGGTGCAGGAAGCACGCTTGGCCTCTCCCCCGGGGCCGATGTTGCGGGCGCCAATTTGGGATCCTGCGCCGGTCTCCATCAGATTCCGTCAGGTTTGCCAGTTCTCCATGAAGGTGCAGGAAGCGCGGTTGTTGGCCTCACTTCCCCGCGCGCCAGGAGGGATCAGGATCACGTGAGTCACAAGGAAAACCCCTCAAACGGGCATAGAGGGCCTGAGGGGAAACACACCCGCCGACTTCTCGTCCTCTGTATGCACAACCAAGAATTTGCAGAATCTGAATATCTGGGGCGCTTGCCACTGGTGTCGATCTCACATGAGACAGACCGGAAATGATGGTGGAGATCTTCTAATTCACAGGCGGCCCCACCAGATGGCGGCTGCAGATACATCCAGCGGTTCCCTTGGACGCACTCATGAATAATGAAATTGTTGGGGGCACTTGCTGAGAGATTGACTTCTTATTACTAACAAGGGCCGTGGGATAAAGTATCCTCGGTGATCTGGACTTCGCCAGCCTAACCGAGCCCAGTCATTCCTGCTGGGGCTCGGGTCTGCACTCGCAGTCTCCTGATTGCCGAGCCTGCCTTCCCAATTTCCCAACGCGGGGTGGGTACATCCCTAGTACCAAATGTCCTTCCCAAGGCCCCGCCCTTCTGTGCAGACTGTTGAGGAGGGAGGAAGGACGAGGAAGGAGGGAGGAGGAGGAGGAGGAGGAGGAGGAGGGGGAGGAGGAGGAGGGGGAGGAGGAGGAGGAGGGGGAGTATGAAGAGGAGGAAGAGGAGGAGGAGAAGGAGAAGGAAAGAGGCATGCCTCGCACACCCCCTGGAAGGATGGCGGATTTTGACGCAGTGACTGGACGTCACCATCTGTTGCCTGGACGAGGCACAGCCTCAGGAGCAGCTCTCGCGCATCGCGGCCAGGCCTGTGATCAAATCGCACTGCAGCCAATCAAACCCATCGTGACGGGATGACCATTTCTGCCCCACCCACCCCCACTAAGACGAAGCCAGAGCGAGGACAACATCGGCCGAGGATACATCGAGAATCTCTGAGTTCCCGCGGCTCCGGAGGATGTCTCGAGCGCCGCGGCCTTCTCAGAGCCTTCCAGAACGCTCCGAGAGCGTGCCGAAAAGCTCTGGAACGGTTTGATCCTCGTACCAGCCCCGTCCGACCCCCCCCCCTCCTCCTCCTCCTCCTCCTCCTCCTCCTCCTCCTCCTCCTCCTCCTCCTCCTCCTCCTCCTCCTCGTCCTGCCCCTCCTCCTCCTCCTCCTCCTCCTCTCCT